GGGGATCCCGCAGCGCCCGTCCCGAATGCCGGCCTTGGCATAGCGGAGCGGAACCGGTGACAGAGCTGTCACAGCCCCCCGGTGCTGAGCTTCTCCGGTCCTGGCTCCGGGCAGAGCGGCGGCAGTCGTGCTTCAGCTTGCAGGATGGTGTTGGGCTAGGTGTAGGTCTTCCTCCCCATCCATGTTTTCCCCACGAACAAGTGGGTTTTGAATAGGGGACTTAATGTAAAAGTCCAAGAGGGGATTTATTAATTCATCGAGGAGTATGAAAAGGATGAAACCAGGCTCTTCTCAGTGGTGCCAAGCAACAGGACAAGAGGCAATGGGCAGAAATGCACAGGAAATTCCGCCTGAGCATGAGGAAGAACTTTACTGTGAAGGTGACTGAGCATTGCAACAGATTGCCCAGAGCGGTTGTGGAGTCGTCTTCCTTGGAGATAGCCAAAAGCCATCTGGACACAATCCTGAGAAACAATCTCTGGGAGGATCCTGTTTGAGCAGGGAGGCTGGGCCAGGTGACCCACTGTGGTCCCTCCTAACCTGACCCACTCTGTGATTCTTGCTCTAGGTGTGAGGCAGAATTCATCAATTGGGAGGAAAGTAATAAAGCTGGAGCAGGAAAAGACAAAGCTTCCACAGAAATGAATGTGCTGTTGATTTCACAGATGGACATCATGTTTGCAAACATATGTTGCTATTCCGAATTTGTCATTCTGACACCAAAACTAATGTGGGGAAATACAGTGGATAATTTTGACTGTCAATATAACAGAGAATTCACATTTTGTTGGTTCTGTGAATGTTGACAGTGGAGAAGAAGAACCAATTTCCCTTAAAATGAGGGGGTACCTTTAGTACAGCTGAACTCAGGGCAGCTCTGTGGTTTGCCACATCTGCACTGAGCTGCGCTGCTGTCACTTGGACAGCACATGTTGGCCAACTGTTCCCTTGGTGAAGTCAGGCCTTGGGAGCCTGCCTGGCCTGAGGGATCCCTGCTGAAGCCAGTGGGAGTTGGCAGAGATTGGTGGTGAGGAGACAGCGACCCTTTGCCAGCAGAACTGATTCTGTGTTGTAAATGCTGGAACTCTCCTAGGGAAAACAGAAGCGTGTGGTGCTTGGTTTAGTCTGGAGGATGTCCCCTATTTTTAAGGTGATGCAGAACATATTTTCAATTCTAATTATCTTAATTTCCACTGTATTTAATTTTACCAGGCCGGGTACCGTGGCTCTGCGTGAAATCAGGCGCTATCAAAAGTCCACCGAACTTTTGATCCGCAAACTCCCCTTCCAGCGTCTGGTGCGTGAAATTGCTCAGGACTTCAAGACAGATCTGCGCTTCCAAAGCGCTGCCATCGGTGCTTTGCAGGTGAGCTATGCCCGGGTCCCGGCTCCGGGCTGGGGGGATCCCCCCGGAGCCCCCAGGTCGGGATTCCCCGAGCTCCAAGTCGGGATTTCCGGAGCCCCGCCCTGCTCCCCCATTGGCCAGGCTGTTTCCAGGCTTCCTCTAGACTCCCTCTGATTATTGGGGCTGCGTGGTGGGCGTGGCCTGCAGCACTGGGGAGGGATGCTCATCTCAGCCTTGCCTTATCCTGGGAGTTCCTGTGGGTACCATGGAATAAAACAGCACAGGGGCAGCTCAGCAGCTCCTTACAGAGCCTAAAAGTCTGGTTTATAGGTGGTGCTTTGGGTTTTTTTTAAATAGCCCCTAGATTTGTTAGAGCAGTGCTTAACATGCTCAAGGAAAACACATTTCCTCCACCTTTGAGCTCTGCAGTTGGAGAGCAAGCATGGTGTAAAGCAGATTCAAGGGTTTCCTAATGGGGAGGTCTTGGTGTCCTCAAATGCCCTCTAAACAAAAACAGCCCAGTAAGCCACATCTAAACACAGTTAGGGAAACAGCTGCATTTCGAGGATGTATTTGATGCTAAGCACATTTAAAAATATATTAGTTATGTAATTTATTTAGATTATACAGAGAGAAAAATATTAATTACTCTTTCTGGCCCAAATTTTTGAATCTAAGTCAGGACCCCCCACCAGACTGAGTTCTTACTGTGGGGACATCTCCCTCTTGTGATAAAAGACACTCCTGATTGAAGATAGCTGTTGAAAGATTGTTCCAGAACATATCTATAGTCGTAGTCTGTCTGACATGCAGACAAAATGGTCTCTTTCTAGTTAATTACTTCCACTTGATAAGGGGCCAAGACATTTGCCATGAGAGCCCATAAACTTGGGCATGTGCTTAACTTCAAAAGGTGCCTGTGTGTGTTTGCAGAGTTTCTGCTTTTGCTTTTAGTTATTCTGTGTGGTAGTTCTTAAATCCTGAGGTTTATCTGTGTGTCTCTTTATCTAGATCTGCCCATTAAAATTTAGTAGCTGTTACACTTTCAGAAAGCTTCTGGCTTGAATGTTCCTGCTTTTGCATTAAGGAGTTGTTGGAATAGAACCTGGTCACATACAATTCCTAGTGGGTTCTGCTTGCATATTTGAAGAAACAAACAAACTCAAAAAAATTTTTTTTTTCATTAACCCCTTGGGTACCATGGTGTTTGTGCCAGCAAGGATATTTGGTGAATTGTCTTAATTTTAATGTATTAATTTGACAAAACTGCATTAGGAATTCTCATATCCTTCTGCAAATTAAATGGCTTAGTAATACCACAGTCCTCATCTGCTGTAGTAAATATTGGGTTTATTTCAAATTGGATAGTCTTATGTTTTTAAGCAGGATCTTTGAACCTAAGTTGATTCCTGGAGTTCCTGGCAATCAAGTGGTTCACACAAGTTCTGTTGTGTGCATTGTAGAAAGAGTGACCTCACCCTCCTTCTTATGATTGAGACCCATCATTTTCACCTTCTCAGCCCAGGTGTGGCTGTGTCCAACACTGGCACACTAGGATGCTTCCTAGGAGGTTGACAGGGTTAGAATTCCAAGTATTATTGATTGGGTTAGAATTCCAAGTGTAATTGATAGGGTTAGAATTCCATGTGCTCCAGAAGTGTTTGAACAATGACCATTGCTGTGTTGGGCTTACCAGCAGCTAACTTCATGTGAGTCAGGGAAATATTTGGGTCCAGCTGAGCATCTGTCTGGCTCAGAGTCCTGCCTGCAGCTGTGCAGTGACAGGGAGAGCCACTGTGCTCAGCTTTGTCCTTGTGCTGCCCCTGGCTCGCTCAGGTGTGAGCTGAGAGCTGTCTGTGATGGTGGGGCCGGTGCTGTGTCCCCAGGTGGGCAGGAAGGAAATGCAGGAACAGGAAAGTGTCTGATGGTAATTCCCTGACTGATGCCTGGCTTTGATGGTTCAAGGAGCTCCTGAACTAATGGAATTCTCTTATTTCTGATAGTTCTCAGTACATTTTTTTCTGCTGTTATTTGACTTAAGCCACCTCTTCAGTGTCTGTGGAAGGAGCTGTGTGCCTGAGCTGTGTGGTGGGAAGAAATACATGTTCTTCTTTTTCCCTGGCTCTTGCCAATTTCACCTGATGCTCAGTGACTCTCACTCTGGAAGAGGCAACAAACAAGTCCCTCAAACAGTGTAACCCAGCCTTTGAAAAGAGAATTTCCTAAACAAACTAACCTGCTGATAATGTAACCCCTTCCTGTCTCGTGAGAGTCCCATGAGAGTGTCAGTTCTGCTGTGCTCTGGAGGATGTCCTTACCAAACAGCAGCAGTACACTACTTTAGACACAGAATATTATCAGAAAGTGGAGGTTTTCATTTCTGAACATCTAAAACTTTTGATATTTGTGAGTAATAAAGATTAAAACCTCAAATTAATGCCACGTCACACTGTACTTTTAATCCTGAACTACGAATCTTTCTTTTTCCTGATGCTCAGAGATTGAAAATATTCTTACCTCTTTTCTTCCACACTAGGAGGCAAGTGAAGCCTACTTGGTTGGGCTGTTTGAAGACACCAACCTGTGTGCTATCCATGCCAAACGTGTCACAATCATGCCAAAAGATATCCAGCTAGCACGCCGCATACGTGGGGAGCGTGCCTAAAGCCTCGCCACCGTGGGTCTGTCATCCTCCAAGCAAAATCTTCTTCCTGTTATTGGTAGTAATGAACGTTAGATATTTTTTCCATGGGGTTAAAAGGTACCTTAAGTATATGGTTGCAAGTGGAAAAATAGGGGACAGAATTGGGTATTGGCAAGTTTTCTTTCCATTTTCATTTGTGTGTGGATTTTTAATATAAACAAGGGGGACGTAAAAATAAACAATGTGGTCAAAAAAAATAAAAAATAAAAAATGTGAATCGTTGAAACTTGTTCACCAAAACAACTTTATAAAAAAAAATTATAAATAAACCTGTCAAATTTTTCTGGACAATGCCAGCATTTGGATTTTTTTAAACAAGTAAATTTCTTATCAATGGCAACTAAATGGTGTTTGTAGCATTTTTATCATACAGTAGATTCCATCCATTCACTATACTTTTCTAACTGAGTTGTCCTACATGCAAGTACATGTTTTTAATGTTGTCTGTCTTCTGTGCTGTTCCTGTAAGTTTGCTATTAAAATACATTAAATGATGCCTGGTTTTAGTCTTGATTTTTAAATATTATACATGGGTTATATTGATTCAAAAGTGATCAGCCTTTCCTTCCCTTTTGCTCTTCAATGCATGGCCTAATTCCTTGGGGCAGATCTAGGAAACACTGGGGGTGCTGCCTTGGCTGGCTGAAGTGGTCTATATGTGAGGCTCTTTTAAGAGTGTAAAATTTATCTGCTCCACATAAAAATGAGTTTTGTGAATGTAGTACGAGGTAAGGTCTGGAACTGAGCTGAGCTCTCTAACCTACAGTGCTGTGAAGCAGCAATTTGTTATTTAGATTCCTTTCTTACTTGATTTTGTGCTGAGTTTAGAAGCATTTCTGATTTTCATGGTTTTTTAGTATGGTGTAAGTGGTGGAATGTAGCAGTTTGGGTTTTTCTGTTTGGGGGTTTTATTTTTCTTGGGTGTTTTTTTTGTTTTGGGTTTTTTTACCCTTTTTCACTCCGTTGCTTTCTTGGTTTGTAGGTGTTCCCTTTTTGGTTGACTACCTTTCTGTTTCCATCACACCCTCTAGCATTTTTGAGAGCTTAGTCCACATGTGATTAGTTTCAGCTTGTACACTCCAATCTAAAAGACACTTTTGTACCATTTTTGTTACAATTCTTCACAGAAGCAGTACTTGGACAGGATCACACATTTCAAACCAACTGTGTTTTTACATTCTCCCACAATTGCTGATGGAAGTTCACATGAAGAAATTTACTGCTAAAATCCTGTCCTGTGAAAACCTGGTTTTAATTTTTCCCCTTGAAATTTGTTTAAGGGTTCTGGCAGACCAGTCTGGAAACGAGTTATGTGCTGGAGTTCTTGATAGCTCTTGCAGATAATGAAATGAGCTCCACAGAAAAAAAAAAACGTGGGTGGTGAACAGATTTCACCTCCATGCTAAGGCTCCTGCAGAGCTTATTTGCTGCTAACTTCTTTTGAGAGGCTTTGAGTGAGCTCTAAACACAAGTGAATTTGTCTGAAGATTTCCAAAGAGGATTAATAGAGATATATTATCTGCTTTGGTATCTTGAACAGAGAGCCAAAAATTACAGAATAAATCACATTATTCATAACTTGCTCGGCTTTGGTAATGAATGCTGTCTGCTGGGGTTGTGCAAAGTAAAGTCTATTTAAATGGAGTGGCTTGTCACAGGCAAGACTAATGCTAGACAAAAAGTGATCACATCCTTTTGATGCCAAGCAGTTCATAGCTATCAACTAAAAATTAAGGAAGACTAGTCTTGGAGCACCCAGAACAACAGGAATATAAAAGGTGAGCAACTGAGATGGAACTGATTTAGGATGTCACTTCTGTCTACTTGATAACAAGCCTGTTAAACTTGCTATCAATGCATTTCAATATAATTAACTACTTGTTTTGTCCTGTACTTCAGAATTCTGTTTCACCTATCAGTCAGCAGTGCTGCAAGCACCTACACAAACAGGTAATTAGGCTGGGAGTTTTTTATTAATTAATCTGGGACTGAAGTATAGATAAGGAACTTCAGGTTTTTTTCTTTCTTAGGAATATTAGGAAACCAAATCTCAAAATGTTGGTACTCAAGTGACATACTGAGTTCTCTCTCTTTGAGAGGATTGGAGTGAGGAATATCCCAGTTTACCTGACAGTGCAGTTAAATAGTTCAAGGCAGAGGAAATCCTAACAGAAGATGAGGGGATCAGGAATCTGAGCAGATAACATTTTAGTGTTCAGTGCTTTGCCTCCAGCTTAGGGATAAACTTCACCTGTTTGAAAGTTGTGGTCCTAGAGATGCAGGTGAATCCTTTTAGTGATTTGCTGTCTGTGCCTGAAGCAATGCCAAGAAACTTCGGTTTCCAAAATAGTTGAAGTCTTCCTCTCCTTCCCCTCCCATACCAATTTTGCTGTTTCCTGGGCTGCAGCTACAGCTGAGATTTTGGACACCAGAAACAAGTTCTGGTCCTGTGGATGTGCTTCTGTGGAGCAGTTTAACTGTTCTAAGTGGAGGGATGGATGTGAAGTGGCTCCTTGTTAGTCATATTCAGAAGTTGAGCATCTCTTTAAGACATTTGATGTATGTCCAGTGCCCAATTTCTGAATTATTTTGGTGAAGTCCTTTATAATGTGTATGTGGTTAAGTTGGTTTTTAGGTCTCTGTTTTACATTTGTGTTTTAGCAGCTGTTTTTACTTGCTGTTTCTTCCAGAGTAAATACAAAACCTTATTTTAACTTGGTTACTTTGTATCATAAAGCCTTATTTTAAGTTTGTTGCTTTGTATCAGCAACACAAAAAGCCAACTTGCTTACCAGAGTCAAAAATTAACATAGTGGGAAATAATTTCAGACACAAGATCAGCCTCTCTTATGTGGCTTTAACAAATTCAATGAGCAGTTCTTGAGAGCTTGACTAAGAGGGAGTTTAAGCCCAGCATTTCAGATTTTATTTAGGACAGTAACTTGCTGACTTTAAATTAACCATTATTGGTGTACCTGTGTTTTAGTGTTGCCTCTCTGGGCTGTGTTCCTCCAGCCCTTTGTCCCACCTGGCAGTAGCTGTTTGGTAATCCTAATCCAGGCACCAGATTCCACTTTTTTAAGTGATTGAAAGCAGTGTGTCTCACATCCATACTCCCTGTGCCACCATTTTTGGTCTCTGCACATCCACTTGCTCTGAAGATCTGGAGCTTAACTTTAGGATTCGAGGTTTAATAAAATACAGGCAATATTCTGGTCAAATATTTTGTTCACTGTGATTTTATTTCTTGCTCTGGCAAAAAAACAACATGACTTTTCTTGGCCTTCATAGGAGTAAGACCTTAATAACACTTTTCATATAATTTGGTTTCAAAGGCTGGAATTAAGAGGAGGAATTTTAGTGTCAGAATAGTTGTTGGGTTCTTTTTTTCCCCTGGTCCAGATCAGGAGGATATTGAGGAGCTGTTTGCTCAGCTTTTACTTTGTGTAATGACTCACCCTCAGTGATGAGATGTTTTTGCACTAAGTGGATGTTCCCAACCTGTTTGTGGCAGGTTGGCCTCTAAATATTTTGTTGACCAGAAAGCCACTGTTTATATATTCCTTTTTTTTTTTAATCTGTGAGGAGGCTTTAGATCTTTAGACCTTGGTAATAGAATGTCAAAAAGATAGCTGAGTGTGTAAAAAGCTTTACATCTGTAAATAATAGTGTTAAAAAGGGATTGTTAGGACTGCATGGGTTTATAGGATCTTAATGTAAGCTACCTTTTTGATTGCCTTCATGGGAATAGTACCTGTTACATGATCAAAAACTAAATAAATATACAAGAACTTACTTATTTTAAATAAAGAGACTTGCCTAATTCTGAGAAATGGCTGCAAAATGCTGAGGCTCAGGAATGCTCTCAGCTGCAGCACATCTGAGCTGAAACTTTCTGCTTTTTCCTTGGTGGTGATCCTTACTGTCCCGCTGCAGCAGTAACACCAAAGATCAGGACATGGGGGTAGAATTCCACAAAAAACAAGGTTGGGGTCAAAGGCAGGGGGTGTGTGCTCTCCAAGTCATCAAAGTTGCTCCTCAGTGGGAAATAAACCTGGATTTTCTGTCCATCTTTCTTGAGAACACATTTGTAGGCTTCTATGTGATTTGAGACGTGTGCTCACGTCCTCTGCTGTTGTGTCCCCCGCCAGCAGCATCCCCCTCATCTCCTTCTGCAGGCAGGCTATTACACACAGCAGGGTCGCTGGCAGCAGGGGGGCTTTATGTTACTGAAAGCTCCTGCCATGTCAGAGAGATTTAAGTTAAAAAAAAAAATCCCTACAGCTCTGGCAACCACTTGTGACTCCTGATGGTGGCAGGGCTGAGGGTTCTCACCCTGCTCCCTTGAGAGGCGCTTCCTTCACCTCTTTGTGATCATGTGTGCTGTTCCATGGAGGCATCCCAAGCAAACCCAGCTGGAAAATATCTGTGGAAGATGCCTCTAGAACCCAGAGTGAGTGAGAGCTAATCCCACATTCCTCTGTGATAAATGCTGACCCTCCTGAGCAGTTGCTCTCCGCTCCTGCCAACCTAGATTTGCGAGAAATGGTGTGAAAAAAGTGGAAAACTTCAGTTGAATTGGTGAGGGGTAAATTCTCCCTTCTGCCTTCACCTTGTGCCTGCTTTGAGGAAAGGCTGAGACAACACCTGAGTCAGCAGCTGGTGAGGGATCCTGAGACTTCAGTCATCATACCAGGTGAGGGATGTTCCTTTATTTTCCCAGGACTGGAGGAGCAGGAGGCCTGGAGGAGCTGCCCAGCCTCCCTCTCCTGCTCCTTCAGTGCCTGGCAGCTGAGCCCTGCCAGGAGGCCGGGCTGGGAGCGCTGCCAGGAGAACACATGGCCGGGATGCTGCCTGAGGAGCTGGCCCTGGCAGGAGGGGCTGGGAACGGCCTCAGGACCGGCTCCCGCTGAGGGGCTGCGTGTCCCCGAGCCTGGAGCTGCTCCCAACAGCCCCAGAGCCGGGTCAGGAGGGGCTTGGGAGGTGCCAGCTTGGGTGGGCACATCCAGGGACCTCGGGCTTGGGATCGGGCAGGGAGTGAGGGAGGGAGCGGCGCAAGGTCCGTGCTGGATGGAGGGATGGATGGATGGATGGATGGATGGATGGATGGATGGATGGATGGATGGATGAGTGAGTGCATGAATGGATGGATGGATGGATGGATCGTGGCTTTTCCTTTGTGCCTCCTGCCATCTGCAGGCTGCTGGGCCGAGGGTGGGGAAGGTGCTCAGAGGAGGGGGAGGCTTCTCCAGCAGATCCTGGGGGCGTGGGCAGCATTTGGGGCACGGGTATGGAGGGGCTTCACAGCTGGCCTGCAAGAAAAACTGAGTTGCCAGAAGAAATAACAATTGATGACTTTTGAGTGTACCCATTGCAAAGAAGAAGACAAGACTGTCAGCACAGAAACAGACTAGAAAAGACACATGAAAATTTCTGTAAGCTACACTACATGCATAAGTAGATATGTACACATGCCTTATTAAATTTCTGTAAAA